CCTCCCACATGCTCCACCTCCGCCCCCTCCCGTCTCCCTCCCCTCACTTTCTGGTGCCACGAATGCGACATGAGCGTCTCCCTCCTCCCCTCCCCGTCCCCTTTCCCTTGCCCTCATTGCCGCCGCTTCGACTCCCTCCTCCCTCTTGACTCCATATCTCCTCTCTCTCTCACCTCCTACTTCCCCTCTCAACACTCTCCGGATCTCCCATCTCCAAACCCTACCCCCAATTCCGCTCCCGATGACTCCATTGCTGCCATCCCCAGCGTAGAGATCGCCGATACGGCCGCCGTCTGCGCCATTTGCAAGGACGACCTCCCCCGCGGATCGTTCGCCCGTCGCCTCCCTTGTTCCCATCACTACCACTCCGACTGCATCGTGCCCTGGCTTTCGCTCCGTAATTCATGCCCTCTCTGCCGCTCCGCGATCCCATGCTCCCGCCGCCCCCGTACAGCTCGCTTCCGCATCCGCGTGGTGGAGCCCGATGATGTGGCTGAGGTTGACATGGGGGATTCGTTCCACCAGATCGGGTTCTCGCGGACGCAGGAGGGGCTGGAGGAGACGGGATCTGTTGGACCGGAAAATAGTGGGGAGACGGTCTCGTCGGAGTGGTCAGTGGGCGGTGCTTGGGGTGATGGAGATGAAGATGAATTAACCGGTGTGATAATGTCTGATGTTTGGGAGGATTTGTTCGCTTGAACTGGCAGTGTATTTCAGTTTTTTTGGAATGTGTGGAGGTATGATTCTTGATGTGGTACAATCAGATTGAGAATTTTGTTTATATGTTAGGTTGAAATACAGGTAACCTGGAATTGGAAAATTGTTTTTATGGTATTTACATTTTTTAGACCAAAGACTGCTTTTTTGCTAGGTATTGTACTTGTTCCTGTCTGTAATAAAACTATTGGATGGAGAAAATGATGCCACTTGTTTTGGCAATTGTTATGTTCTATATCATTGGTTCGCTAAATTCTATCCATCCACATCTTGCTAATCTTACAGACAGTATATGCTGTAGTATGCATCTAGTTATGTTGTTTGCATTATTATGTAGTATCCATGCCCTGAGAAGTAATTGTTAATATGGGTGTTTCCTCGTTTACTATATTTTTCATTCTTTTAATTTTATTTGCTTCTAATGTTGGATAATTCTTTGATGATAAGCACTTTATAGAAATTAGTTTCAGTACTTAGTTCTTATGATTTATCTTTTTTATCATTTTCTCGTTGGCATGGTTATCAATTTTACAGTTATTTAGATTGAGATATGCAGTTGGTTTCTTATTGCAGGTCTCTATGGTTGGAGATTTTTATTATGATATAGCTATGCTGTAGCACGTTCCGAAAATATTTCCTAAAAGATTGGATAAATTGCAAGAAAAAAAAACTTTAACGATTTGATGTATTTGTATTTTGGAATAGCGAGGATATCAATAGCCTTCGATAACTGTTATAATATTTATCAATTTCTATTAATGATATTCTCTGGTTTGAGCTTTATTGAATAGATTTGCAGGGGATACAAATATAATGGGAGAAGCTATATTGATCTTGTAGTAAATTATAATTTTGCAGTAATAAATGCATTCTTCAACAAAGGAAAAGAACATTTAATTGCTGTAAAATGGGGTCACTGAATCTCAACTATATTCCTTTTTAACCAATAAGAAAGGAAGATTATGTTTTCTGATATTATATAGTGATTTCAGTTGAAATTTTGACTATGCAGCATGAAGTAGTGACTATGTATAATTATTTTAGAAGTACAAAGAATATGATAAAAAAAATAGTTATGATAGGCATAAGATAGCAGTGCTTGAAAGATAATAAGGTTAACTTTCAAAAGATTAGTTGCTATGAGAAGCTATATATTTTCTTACTTGAACCAAACTTAAACAACAACAACAACAACAAAGCCTTAATCCCACTACGTGGGGTCGGCTACATGAATCCTTTTTCTCCATTGCGTCCTATTTAGTGTCATATTTTCATTTAGTTCTAGTAAATTAAGATCATTTTTAATACAATAAGCCCAAGTCTTCCTAGGTCTACCTCTGCCTTTCTTAACACAAGTCGAATTTAAAACATCTACTCTCCTAATCGGATCATCTAATGGTCGACGTTTAATATGACCAAACCATCTAAGACGACTTTCTCTAATTTTGTCTGTCACAGGAGCTACACCAACCCTATCACGAATATATTCATTCCGCATTTTGTCTCTAAGTGTAAAGCCACTCATCCACCTAATCATTCTCATCTCGGCAACACTTAACTTATTATTATGCTTCGCTTTTAAAGGCCAACCTTCAGCGCCATAGAGCATTGCAGGTCTCACCACCATCTTATAAAATTTTCCTTTCAGTCTTAGCGGTACTTTTCTATCACACAAAAGGCCCGAAGCATTCCTCCACTTCAACCAACCAACTTGAATTCTACTATTAACATCCCCATCTATATCACCATCGCTCTGAACAACGGACCCAAGGTATCTAAATCGTTCACACCTTTTAATAATTTGATCACCCAAAGTCACACATCTGTCACTAGAGCTATTACTACTAAAATTACATTCCATGTATTCAGTTTTAGTTCTACTTAAACGAA